AGGTATGGACCTCTGATCATGGATTTACTTCTATTTGAACTAAATCTGACCAAATATTCTTCTTTCACTGATTTGCCAGTTGCTGACAGTCCAACTCCACCTCCACCACCACCTCCGGATGAGATGCCCATGTTTGATGACTCCCCACCACCTCCACCACCACCACCAGTGGATTATGAGGATGAGGAGGCTGCTGTAGTGCAGTACAATGATCCTTATGCTGATGGTGATCCAGCCTGGGCACCTAAAACTTATATTGAGAAAGGTAAAGGATGAATAGATTGGTGCTAAACACCCATTTCCAGATTCCTTAGGGAGATTTAAGCCACGTGTACCCCATTCAGATGACACCACCAAATGGATGAATTGACATAAATCCTTTTTTAAAATACTCCTTCCTCTCAAAATTGTGCAGATTAGGAAATTAATACTAACCAGATCTATTGAATTGTTTCTGAAGGTTACACACTTAAGATCTTGGTTGTACTGAAACATTACACTAAGTGAGCTGTCTATGGCCCTCCAGTTGTTGTTGGATTGCATCATATATTGACTAATATTGATAGAAACCATGTATTTCATGAGTTAGAAATCAAATGTATGTATTGGAAATATAAACCTGTATTGGATTCTATCCTTGATTTTCACCTTTATTTCCATCAGTTGTGTAACCAGTTGTATAAAGTTTTCTTATGATTAACCTGTCTCCACCCTTGGTATCTGAACACCCTTTCTCTCTAGCAGAAGTAGTGCTAAGATAGGAATGTATCCACAAATAGGAATATCATTGATAGTTGACATGTTCCTCTATTGCTAGCTGCTGTATACTTTGTATTAAAATCATTAAATGTTTTATTTTCAATTCAGCATAGCTTTCCCAACATGATGCCCTCTAAATGTGATGGGATTACAATTCTCAAAATTCCTCTGCCCAGATGAGTCTGGGAGTTGAAGTCCCAATGTGTGCCAGTTTGGGAAGGCTTATTTAGCATGATATGTGAATTCAGATTTTGTGACTTGTTAAATCATGTTTTTTTAAAAAAAGTGTATAGCTTCATTTAGTTAGCTCAACTATTCTCAACATACTTTGCATCTGAAAATTTACCGGAACCCTCAAATTAGAATTGCCTTGTTTTTGCAAAGTAATAAAATAATAATATGTAAGGCATCCTACTTCTGAATCGATATGTAATGGAAGCAATACATCTGCACTCTTCTTGTAACAAATATTTGTTTTTTCAAATAAATCATACACTGCTCACTCACATTTTTGGCTACAGGTAATTTTCACATAATAGCATTTGTGGTTTGAGGTAAATAACCAAAGAAAGTAAAGTAATGCCCCAGCATTTGAAGGATTGTATGTCGGTAACAATAAAGAGAATTGAATTGGTAGCATGCCAAATTTTGTGGGTGGTGGTGATTGGACTTTATCTTCCTAATACAGGGATAAATTTGAGGAAGCATGAAACTTCATTTCACCTACTTAGTTTATCTAGTTCAGAATACAGAAATCACCATAAGGCTTGGATATTTGAGCCAGCACTTGAGGGTCATTTTATTCGAAATGTTAAGGAATAGATACAGGATACCGTGCCTGCAGTGTGAGAGTTTTATTACCGTGCTTCTCCAAAAATATGTCCTACCCCAAAAATAAGTCCTAGCTTGATTTTTTTGCACGTGTGCCCAATATAAGACCTATCCAAAAATAAGCCCTAATTAAGACCTCACCCACTCCAGAGTGCATGGGTAAAAATTAAGCTAGGTTGGGGATGGCGGGATGAAGCTGTCCTACTACAGTTGCAGCTAGGCCTCGCACACCCCAACATGTACCTTGCCGGCCCATTTCTTCTGCAGCCTGCTTTCCTGAAGGCCTCTGCAGTTGATAACAGAGCTCTTGATCGATAAGGCCTCTGACAGTGAAAAGGGGGCCGGGGACAACATGCGCAAGTGAGGTGACACACAGACCCCGAAAATAAACATGATGGCTTTTTATTGGCAAAAAAATAAATAAGACAGGGTCTTATTTTTGGGAAAACACGGGAACTAGAATGCAGAAACAGTCATTTCAACTGTTCAGTGCGTCTGGTACTGACTAAATCTCATACCCACTTAATTTGTTCCTGCAAGATAAAATTGATGTATGGTTAAGGACTATTTCCTAGGAACTATGAAACTGTGGAGAGTTCTAGTCCCACCCAGCTGGGTGATTTTGGATCAATCCCTTTTTTCCAGCACAAACCACTTCGCAGTGTTACTTTTATGGGAAAAACAGGAGGAAAAAAAGAGCAGTGGAAGAGACAGATAAGAATCTAGAATGAAAAATCTGAATTGACATGAAAACCCTAGAAATGATTTTAGAACAGCTTGTGACAAAATTCATTGGTACCTCTCTTTCCATTTTTCTAGTTGTTGCCATATATGACTACACAAAGGACAAGGACGATGAGCTATCATTCATGGAGGGAGCAATCATTTATGTGATAAAGAAGAATGATGATGGTTGGTATGAAGGTGTATGCAACAGAGTGACTGGCCTGTTTCCTGGAAATTATGTCGAATCAATCATGCACTATGCAGATTAATTCTTTTTTTTGGGCCAGGCTTTGCCTTCAGTCATGCCATAATGATCTACAAAGGGTAAATTAACACTTGTCTTAATGCTCCTTAAAATGTGCACATCCTTTCCAGGCCATACTGTTTAAATGGCATGATTGAATGTTCATCTGTAAGCATCTGTTTCTGGAGTTTGTAAAATGAACAAATGTTTTAGGGGTGTGCAGAATGGAATGGTTTGTTCTCAGAAGTTCGGTATTTTCCCCAGAATGGCCCAGTCTGAACATTCTAGTGAAGTTTGTGTTCCCAGAAGTCTTTTTTGGCGGGGGGGATCAGGAAGAGAATCAGGGTGTTCAAAACACCTTTTGCTTCTAAAACGCGAGTTCTACAAACCAGTTCGTGTTCTGGAAAATACACTTCCAGAAACATACAACCACAGGATGATTGGATTGGCCCATTTCAGAGGGAGAAACAGAACATTCCAAGAAAAAACTATTCTGTTTTGCAAATAACTGAACTGTTTATTACTGATTATGCTTATTTACCTATGCGTTGTTTTCTACGACCAGCCTAAATATTCTGGGGAAGTAGGGTATAAACTATTTAATGACTCAAGATTCAAATCGTGCCATTGTTTTCTTTTCTCAGTGCAGCAGCGTGATAAACTAACAACTGTTAGACTAACTTTAAATCTGGTTGAAAAGTTTAATAATGCTGGTCATTTACCTTTATTTAGACTATTGCTCATCCTCAAAATATAGTATTTGTTTAAAAGCATGCATAAAAAACTTATGTATTGAATTACACTTTCTTCTGAAAATCCAAGATGCTTCCAATTTGTTGTAATCTTTTACTGGAGTACTTTCACTAAGAGTCTATTCCAGTGAGTCCTTTGAGTCTCTTATCGAATATGTCCATGTGAATCAAAGATGGGTGGTCTTATGATGTGTGTGTAATTTGTACCTGAGTTTTTAATGAGTAAAATTGCATTGACTTTTCCATTCATAAATACATAAATGAACCAAAGGTCTTGTCCATTACTTTTGTTGGCTTGCCTTGCTTTGCAAAGCAATATTGAAGCATGTTGGCTTACCAAATTTCCCCCTTATCAACAGGGTCATTTTTTTTATTGCAGGTCCTTAACATCCCAATAAAGGGAAAGTACACTTCTGCAGGTTACCATATATTCAGATTGCACATTATTTGGCTTATTCATTAGTAAAGGATAGTACTACCCATGACTTTTGAGTAGCAACTACTGAAAACAGAAAGCACATCACTAAAAGGCTGAGAGGAAAAAGTATAAAGCAAAGTTGTTCTTGCTTGCTAAAATGCCCATTAGTTTCCTTTTTAGGTTACTTAGCAGGTTGCGGTGATCTGGGAGCAGTTTTAGAGCAGAAATCTGCTTCTCTTCTTAGCTACCAGAGTGTGGCCAGGGATAGGGAAGATTATAATGATGATGCACCACAGGATAGGTGAATTAAATATTTAACCACTTTTAATTTTTGCTGCAGTGGTACTTTTCCTGTAGCAAGAACTGCCTTAAGAAAGGAGCTTTAATGACACATTGCAAAAATAGATGAATTTGCAGACAGTGAGCGAACAATCAATCAATCCCAAGTAACTCTTAAAACTATAAAAGTCTCTTGCTCTGCTGAGTGAAAGTAAATTTTCATCATTGGAGGATTTTCTGATTTTTTCCCCCCACATCACTATATTTAAGCAGCGCCTATCTAGGAATACAGCTCTTGCCGGCTTAACAGGAATATATTTCCATAGCAGTGCTGTTTCTAGTCAGGCATCCCACTAAAAGAACCAGAGCAGCTTATGTAGAAAAGATTGTTGTGCCATCCATATGGCTTTTAGCAGTAGAACATCTCCAGTTTGAGCACAAGATCAGGTCACATTTCTATGTTTGGATAGTACCCAAGTTAAATCATAAAGGGATTTGTTGCTTTTTGTAGTAAAAATTTATTTGGGCTCAATCACTGTCCTAATGGGCATTAGAGGACGAAAAAGAAAGTGTACTAAATACAAGAATACAAGATATTATCCATCAACATTCAATATTGAAATATCCCTTGCCTTGTTGTTCCTTAAATGAACCTAATTGCTTTATTTGCCTTTTCCTGATTGTTAACATGTTATTTCTGAACATCAAACAGCAACCCATGAAACATATTTGTATTCCCTTTATAAATTGGAACACTTCTTGATTTGTATATAACCTGTTTTAATTATAACAAGTATGTACAGTCTTTTATAATAAACCATTCTTTAATTTTCTGGGTACTTTGAAATTCTAACAGGCAATCTAATTATTCAAGGAGTTGGTTATACTCCCAGCACACATGAGGAACTGCAGAAATAATTTAATACACTGATTGTATTTTATTTTTTGTGACCTTCAGCATCAATAGTGAACAGTGTAAACGAATGCCCACATTAAAACCAGAAACCTCTTCATTAAAAACATAGGTACCACGTGCTGCTACCAATTTAACAGACTGATTGTGTTTCACCGTTGCATAAGGCTTTCTTCAATAAAAGCATTTCATAAGCCTAGTTACTTAACTAGGAAAACTTTTTTTAAAAAAATGGGAACTCCACCAGAAGCAAGCCAAGATGTTCTGAGACAATTTAGGCACAGTCTGGTAAAATAGCTGCCAGAATCACCAGGAAGAAGAGGAGGATTATTTGTCCCGAGACAAGACAATCTCTGCCAGCTGCATAAGAGCATCTCTTTCTGGAGATGGTCGAAGCTTGCTAATCTCCTTCACTGCCTCATGGCAATAACGCTGTGCGAGGTAGTTTGTTTGCTGTATTCCACCACTCTAAGAAAAGACCAAAATATTAAAGGAGGAGTTAGTGAACCACACAAAGCTGCTGCTTCCTCATTCTGCAATTGGTTATGTGAGAGTTTAGCTGACTCTTTTTTTAGAACTGCATTTTATAGATCCATACAACTTAAATGTAGATTTAAGTTACTTTGAAAAGTTCCCTATCTCCAATGTGCTTTATACCACCATGGATGCCATGATTTACGAAAATGTTTTTTTAGTCTTAACACCTGATATGCCCAACTCGCCAAATATAAAAATTGGCAGTTTGCTGAGAGAATCTTGCATGAATTACCAAGACAATATTTATCTGATCCATTTTCAGTATGATCTTCCTTTAGATCAGTGTTTTTTTCAAACTTGGAAAATTTAAGATGTGCGCACTTTAATTCCTAGAATTCTTCAGCCATTTTGGAGGCTGAGGAATTCTGGGAGTTGAAGTCCACACATCTTAAAGTCGCTAGGTTTGAAAAACACTCTACTAGATGTACATCCCTGCAGGAGCTAAAGACAACTTGCTGTATTTTTTGCACTATAAGATGTATTTCTCTCCCCCCTCCCTCAAAAAAAAGTGGGTGGAAATGTCTGTGGGTCTTACAGACCAAATATTGTGGCAGGAGGGTTGGTATCTCACTGTTGTCACCATTCACTGCCACCAGGGAACATTGGAGTCTTCGCTGTCGAGCAGGTGATCGGTGATTGGATTGGCTTCCTGGAATACTGCCAATCAGCTGTTCTAGGCAGCAGGGATTGTCGCCGCCAATCACCATCACTCAATGGCAGTGATCGACGGTGTTCCAGGAGATCGATCCAACCACCAATCAGATGCTCGGCAGCCATTTCCCACCCTTGTTTTCTTCCTCTAAAGCTAATGTGCATCCTATGGTCCGATATGTCTTAGAGTGCAAAAAATACCTTATATGGGAGATATATGTATCTCCCTTCCCTTTATCACATACAACACGAGTATCAAAGTCGCGGCATCACATTATCATCACGTGATATATCACAACGTTTTCCCACTTTGGGGAGCTGGGGTGGGCGTGGCCTGCATGTGATGCATTTGGACTGCAGGCCATCACTTTGACACCCCTGCCATACAACAATCCTTTGAATAAGACTGGGCTAAAACAAAATGACTTGACTTAAAGTTCTATGAATTTTCATAGCTAAAGATGGTATTGAATTTGGGCCTATTTTCTAGTCCCATCCTTAATTACTACACTGACTCTCCATGAACATTCGGATTCTTTACAGGAATATCTTGACCAACTCTCCATGAACATTTGAACTGTTCTATGCAAAAAACTCATGAATATATTTTCTTGCAAAATAGCATTGTCTTATTAAAATATTTAATCTGTGCTAATATATAATTGCTGTAGCATGTACATGGATTTATTACAGATGTTGTAACTTTAATCTTAGAATAAAAGATTCAGACATACAGGATGTCAACATGGTGTGTTTTTTAGGGATAAAGAGGTAGTCCTTGCTTAAAAATAACTAAACTGCCCTGTTTAGTTATTTTTTGAAGTTATGAAAATACTGGAAAAAAAATTACAATTAGTCCTTGCATTTTGGGTAAGCAGAATCAAACAGAGAAGCTGATAGTGAAACTGCAAGTGATGTCACGTGATGTCTTGCTTAATGACCACATTGGAAGTGAGATTGTAAGCATCGTGATCACGTGATGACTCACTTAGCAATAGTATTGCAGGTCCCAACAGTGGTTGTTAAGCGAGGACCAGATGTATTTCAATCAACATTGTATGAATTGATGTTTGGTCTGCAAGGAAGAGTGAAATCATAAGAGTATACCAAATTTTCTTTAGGAACAACTGCTACTTTTAATGAAGGTTTTGTCTTACCTGTAATACAAATTCCTGGGCGCGTTTAACATCGCCTGGATAAGTGAATCGCCTCATTATCATGGCATTAATTTCTGGAAACTAGAAAATAGAAAAGTATGATTGCCCCATCCTTGGCAGTTCGTCTACTGATGCATTCTAAATCCAGGCACAGCTATATAAGGGGTTTTTTGGTAGCTTGCTGGATGTTTTTCTCACGATCCACAATTCTATCGCAAGCAACCTCGCGGAAGTAACTGGGGACTGAGGGGTCCTTGGTGCTCTCTGAGCTTGCTTGTTTTCTTGCAGATGTTTCATTAGCCTAACTAAATAACATTATCAGTGCTAGTCAAACTAGGGACTCTCAAACAATCATATCATATCATATGGCCAGCATGACTATGCCAAAGTGCATGGAAAGCTGTAATTGTCCCACTAAAGTGGTACCTATTTGCATGCTTTCAAACTGCTAGGTGATCAGGAATTGAAGCTAGTAACAGGACTGGAGACTAAAACATGAAAAACGGTTGCAGGATTTGAAGCAGATCTGGAGAAAAGAAGGACTGGGGGGGGGGTCATGATAGCAGTATTTCAGTATTTGAGAAGCTGCCACAAAGAAGAGGTGGGGTCACCCTATTTTCCAAAGCACCAGAGGGCAGGGCAAGAAACAATGGATGGAAACTAATCAAGGGAAGAAGCCACCTGGAATTGAGGAGAAACTTCCTGGCAGTGGGGACAATTGACCAGTGCAACAGCTTGCTTTCAGAAGTTATAGGGCTTCATCACTGAGGTTTTTAAGAAAAGACTGGGCAGTCACTTGTCTGAAACAGTATAGGAACTCCTGCTGGAGCAGAGGCTGGACTAGAACACTCCAAGGTCCCTTCCAGCTCTATTCTGATTTACTTCACAGTGCTTGAGTCTCGAACTTGGGCTGTCAAATTTCCAGTTTTTAACCACTGAGCCATCGCTCAGTGTTAGTGTGTTATATTCAACAAGCAAATGAAGTTTGTTTTAAAAAAGCATGGATAAACCACAAATTGAGAACCAGTTTACATAGTGGTTAAAGGAACAGGCTAGAAGTGGGGAGACCAGGAGTTCTAATCCCACCTGGGGCCCGAAGGGTCCCTTTTAGGCCACTCACTCACTGTCTCTCAGCCCTAGAAAGGAGGCAATGGAAAACCACTTCTGAAAAATGTTGGTAAAAAAGTTACAGGGATCTATCCAGGCAGCCTTCAAGAATCAGATACAGTTGAATCGAAGCCCTATTGACAATTAATATGAAGGTTAAATGCAACTTCCAACTATGTAAAATCTTGGAATACTCAAACTCAGCCAGGTTTCTACCATGAACTTGTAATGATCCTGTCAATAAACTTAACTGTGCCTTGTGTTGCTAATTTGATTTAGGATAAGAAACCAATTAAGGGTAGTATGTTTTATTGCTTCTGATTTGAAAAGCATCTGTGGAGGCTACCTTTCCTTTCTTTAAGCATCTTCCTTTTTTTCCCTTCAAAGCATGCATATACAACAATACTTTTAAATTTTAGCATAAATAAAAGACATGTAATATCTTGGGAAGAAAGTTATTCATACCTGCTGGCAAGCAAATAAGACGGGTCCAGTGGCTATTCCAAGTTTAAGATCCGCTGATGCAGGCTTTCCTAGCTGTTCAGAACATGATGTAAAATCCAGCACATCATCTACCAGCTACAGTAAATGAAGAATATACAATACAATGCAAGGATCTAAGTAAAGGATACATGTATAAATGCTCCAAACCTCCCCCTTTTTAGCATTTTATTTGTCTGATAAAAACTCTGTCATCATTCTTTATATGTTACCTGAAATGCTATCCCAAGGTTTTTTCCATATAGATATGCAATTTCATGAACTTTTGGATCAGGACAGGCTAATACGGAAACCTGAAAAAGGAAAAAAGAACAGAATCATTGGTTATTTCCCATTATTCATATGTGACTAATTCATCCACTAACAACAGAGAAACAGACATCAATAGCTGCATTCTGTCCAGTCCATTTTTATATACTGTATAAAGAGTTTTAAAAATTAAAACTATAGGAAAGACCAATAGCAACAAGACAACATTAAAAGCAGGGTCTTCCAAAAGTCTGAAGAGTTTTGGGGATATATATACATAGATAGATAGATAGATAGATAGATAGATAGATAGATAGATAGATAGATAGATAGATAGATAGATAGATAGATAGATAGATAGATAGANATAGATAGATAGATAGATAGATAGATAGATAGATAGATAGATAGATATAGATATATATGATATAGATATAGATAGATAGATTGATAGAGAGAGAGAGAGAGAGTCAGAGAGATAGATAAACAAATAGAGTTACCTTTATATCCAAAAATTGATTGACTTTTAAGTATTTAATATAATTGCACATAACTGCAAACACAGAAGCTAACACATATAATAAGATTATGATTGCAAAATGTTTTGTTAGTTTTACAGTCATCATCAAATTTCATTGTAACACAGAGAAGCACTATAACAAATGTTGAGGGACCCACAATTAACTACTGTTTTTATTAACATTACTAATGTATTTAGGGTGCCAAACCTTCTGGCTTTAAACCAACACTTTTAAACTATGATTGTAAATAATGTAGTATCTTCTTACAAAATTGTGTGATCCACTCTATGAAATACACTACTAAAAATATTTGCACTTGCTCTATTTTTCAAGATAAACTCTATCCAGAATTCACTAAAACATGAATCCCTCTGGCCAGATCCTTCCAAAGCATGCCAGAAAAAAATGGTGCCTTCAATCAGGACCTCACTTTACAAGCATACTAGTGGTCTAAGGATCTAGGGTCCAACTTCTACGCTCATCTAATACTGATTTTTCATCTGGAACAGGCTTATTATATCTAATTCTAGATTAGGAATGCATATGATCAAGATAGAACTGACCCTCCAGCTATTAGTTTGCCCATCTATGGTCTCTAATAGCAGGCTAGGTTTAAGGTGCTATGTGAGGTGTTTGGTTTGGTTGCCATCATGTATTTTTTAAATGGCCAAAATTTCAAGAAATCATCAGATTTCTGGTATTTTCTCATCCAGTATGTGGTACGAATTCAGGTGGGAACTCTTAACATCTCATGAGATTCTATGAACTTGCACTTAATTATTTAAAAACAAAGCAAAACACAATTCTGTGTGATTTTGAAATTCTACAGATACTATCTGGGGAGGCGCACACAATACACTTCCTGAAAACACTGCATTGTTAAACCATGGCTTATTTAATGGGCTCCTTTTTTATTGTGATATGCATTAAAAAAAGGTTGGGAATGTCTGTTTAGTATTTCTCATGTCTTCTTAGAATCACCTGATATAATGCAGCAAAAGGTGAATCAAAGAAAGTTCGAAGAACTCCATTTACTGAAATGCTAAGTAACACCTTGATAGCATCATAACTGTAAAACCATTATTTGCTCAATCAAGTTATTCCCAAAAGCTCAACGGCTTCTCTGAAACTGATGATGCAGAAAACTAAGTTCATCATAACTATTTTTTTGTTTTGTTTTGAATGAAGCTCCCACTTTTTCATTAGGTTTAATGTACTGGTTAAGTTATTTTCTCTCTTATTTCTCTCTCTGGAAAACAAACCAAAGATACCACTGCAGCCATTTTGTCAAAGCCCTTTTTTAATATTCATAGGCTTGTTGAAAAAATGGTTCAGTCTTCCAATTCCTAATCTGTCTCTCCTCCACACATTAAGATAAATTAACAGAAAAGATGGAACGTACATACTGCTTTACAGCTGTTTGCTATAAGACTTGCAGTCTTCTTAAAAGTTTTTTCGAGGTAGTGAGAAAATCTTTCATTTTCATTTTCTTTGGAACCCAGCTGGAGAAATTCACCTGAAAGAGGTAAAAAAGATCAAAGGTCTTAGCAACTAATTGCTAAGGGGATGGAAATTCAGTTATTTCTAGTTATGTTGCTAAAAAGCCTTACCACGCACCAGATCTTCAATCACTTGCGTTATTAGAGAAAGGACAGTTGTGTTCCCAATACGTGCTAAAACTAAAGATGCTGTAGAAAGGATGAAATCACCAGCTAAGACTGCCTGAAAAAGAATAATTGATTTTAAAATACTCTAGCCTGGCACCATTATTCACTTTACAGTTTGCATACCATTTTAAAAATATTCTTGTTACAGTAGTCAGGGAACCTGCCAACAAATAAATCTGAAGGCAACATCAGAAATGCAATTACAAGGATTGTACACATTTTATATTTTCCCCTCACTTATATAAAATATTTTCTTTTCATAAACTGTAAGCTAAAATGACAAGACAATGGAAGATTGGAAAGGAATTATAGGAGTTGAAGCCCATGTATCTTAAAGTTGCTAAGGTTGAGAAACACTGTTTTATATCCAAAAAAAACCTCACCTAATTCCTTTCTCTTGTGCAAATTCAATATCAGGGTGAGGCTCCGCTCTTAACTTCTGCCAAGTTATTTATTTATCTCCTTTATTTAATTATATTAGATTATTATAACAACAGCTATTATCTGCTCATAGCTAACAAAGCTGAATACCCTTATATATTTTATGTTTCTGGGAGTTTCAACCACATATACAAAGCTTAATGGCAACTGTTGTGCATCTAGAAAGAACTAGAGTTTTCTTTTTTTTAAAACAAAAATTAATGTATACTTTCAATTATTTCACTTTCGTCCCTAAACCTAAACCATTCAATCAAGCCATTGTGATCTTGCTCCTTTCTGAGCCCCTGGTTAGAGAAGGTGGTAAACTGCTTCTGGACTTATCAACAATCCTTGGATACTTTAGGTGTTTCACTGATTGTTGATTTTTCTCTGGGCCCTTCCTTGGACATATAGTTTATTTTTCAGAGTATGATGCATTTTTATCCCCTAAAAGAGGGTGAAAATTTGGGTGCGTCTTATACACCGAATATAGCCCACCCGTCAGCCGCCACTCTTTGGCCTCTGCCTCCCAGCGATTTACCTCCTTGCAGCAAACAGGAAAAATGGAGCTTGCGGAGGTGGCAATAGGCTATGGCAATCCCTGCAACCTGAAACAGCTGATTATCGGAAAGCCTGTGCTGAAACTGAAATTGAAAGTGAAACAGGCTGTTTGTTGCAAGGAGGTAAGTCATTAACTATAAATGCCTATCAAATGTTCAAATTATTAGAATTATTTTTAAAGACTGCTTTATTATTGTTCTAGGCAACTTAACAAAATGAAGAAGCTTTTTAAAATAAATGTTTGATCTGAAGAGGCCCAGTGCTATTGTATCCTATTTTAATTAGCGAAGAATAATGTGTACTTCCAGAAAGCCACATCAATTTTAACAGTATCTGTACAAGTATAGTCTGAAATGTAACATCACAAACAGCGTGTATCATCTGTACTGTTTGCTGCAAGGAGACAAATTGCTGGGAGGCAGAGGCAAATATTTTCCCCTTGTTTTCTTCCCCAAAAGCTAGGTGCGTCTTATACTCCGAAAAACAGGGTATGTAATATCTTTCTTGTACTGCATTGCTCCATTTGGTGTTATGCAGATAAATCAAGTAACATTCCAACAATGCTTTGAATAGCTAAGAAAAAATACTTGCCTTCCTTTCCCCCCAGATGTGATTAACAGTAACTTTTCCTCTTCGTGAATTAGCATCATCAATTACATCATCATGAACTAGCGTAGCAGTATGGATCATTTCTGCAATTAATGCTACAGAGCGCTGGTTTGCCTTCACTTCTCTAAGATTGAGACGTGGAAAAAGAATAAGAAAAATATAGCACGTCAATCCTGTTTTAGAATAGCTTGAACAATACAGAAAAAGAAAGTAGATATCAAGTCAGATTCAAAAATTTTGAAAATAGGCATGTTCCAGCTTGCTAATCTTCTAGCAGTTGACTTGATAATAATGAAATGGCATTCATGATTAATGTTTCGAATAAAAATCTTTGCGTTTTTTTCTAAACTAGTATTGAATAAAAATTAACCGAAGTTACTAATTACTATCAAACTTAAAATATTGATTATAATGTAAATATAATAATGATATGAACAATGAATATTATTAAAATTGTAGTACTACTGTTATTACATTATTAGAGAAGTTAAAATCGAGAGGAAGGCAATGGAGAATGGAGAACTACAAAGGCTAAACATGAATGCTGATACAGAAGGCTTTATAATTACTTTATATTTTTATGCTTGTCTCGTTTTTTTCTTTCTTTTTGTTGTGTTTTTCTTTCTGTTTTTAAAGGTAAAAATGTTTCATAAAAACTAACACATGATTAATGTTTCGAGTTTAGTTGAAGTTTATAATGAAATTAATCTTTCATATTTAATGTAGAAGTATAGAATTTAATTTGAAAAATAAATAGTCAGTAGTGTAGGTAATGCACATGGTGAGAAATTATTCTAAATAAGAGACATCCATTAAATGCAAGAAGGTTGAATATCTGCTAAATCTTGTCCCTAATTGCTTTTGTATGGGAACAAACCTTAACTGTAATAATTCAAAAATAAAAATTAGATGTTTACCCAGAATTGTTATGATGAAAATTGCATGCTCTGGCCATTAGTGCCACAATAATTGGTCGAAAGGCCTTCCCTTTACCATCAAAGTAGTAGTCACACATTTCTTTAAGTTCTGAAGTAGAAACCCGTAATTCCTGCAAAAAGCCAAACAAATCCTGTCTATATCTGCTAATCTAGACTTGCTTTATGACAATAAAGTCCTATCTAAAGAATGATCTATTAGAGCTTATCGTAGCTCACCAAAAACATATTTACCTTTTTAATATCTTCATACAAATTTTTCAGGTCTTTCCCTCCAAGTTTAAAAGGATCTTTGTATTGTTCATCGGTGACTGCTTTACCAAAGAAATGAGTTTGCACTGTTGTATGTTGAAACCTAGCAAACCTTTTTGGGGAAGAAAGAAAATATTAACATAATCCCTGTAACTGAGGCAATTTGGTCATTTCTGCCCAGAAAAATAAGACTATTGTTACTATCCTAATTCAATTTTTAAAAAAGAAAATACATAAAAAGAAATAGTTCTTCAAGCTTATCTACAAGGTTAAAAAAAAATTCAGTCAATACTGAGAAGGAAGGACAACATAGGTTTTCTAAAATCATTAAGTTTGGAGATCTTTGGTGGATCTTGTGTTTGCCTTAAGCAGCTAAGATACCTTCAGAAGCAGTTAGTTTGCAATTCTACTATTCCTAATGGATCTCTTTCTCTTTCTCTCTCTCTCTCTGCCCAAGTTTTAACTAAGGACAGGTTAGAGACCCATCCAGTACAATTATTAGTTTCTGAGTCTCATCTTGCTGCAGCTACGTCATAGAAAAAGACTAGCTGTTTAGGATCTGTGAAATTATGAAGAACTCAAGGAAAAAAAGTTTAAGCAATTTATTCAAATGTATTATCTCTGTGAGGGACATAGATGGTTTCTAAATCTGATACATAAATAAAATAAATATTGTACCTTTGTGTGGGCATGCATATGGAGAATAAAGCAAAAGTTGTCATTTTGTATTGAATTAAACAAATGGGAAAAAACCCCACCAAGTATACCATTCTGCAGTTATTTTCCTTCCTCTAAAACAGGAGAACAAAAAAAATCTAGTACCAAGCTACATGTTATATAATATATGAAATTATTTCCACTACATAAATTTCTTATGTATGGTGATGCATACCATTTCAGTAAATCACCATGAAATACCTTATATGATATATACATATACATTAAGTGTATATCATATACATAAGTGTATATCGTATATATAATAGCCAAAATTGCAAGTGATCACCAAGTTTCACAAGATTTTATCTTCCTCACTATTTTGCAAAAGCTTTGGCAGAAAGATCACATTTCATACAATTTCCTATGTGATTTTGGTTATTCTAATTTTTATTTAATTTGAAATTTAATAGATGAGAGTATTTGCTCTGGTTGCTTCAGCTGCTATGTTAAGAAACATGCTTATATGATGATTCTCAAAAATTCTTAAATATTGATTTAATGATTTATATTGAATGTAATTTGTCAAAAGATGGAAAAAAGACTAAATGTTATGATGCCTGCAATTTAATATCTCCTTGCATCCTTCACAGTCAAACTTTAAAAGATACTGAAGTTACCTACTTTAGTATGACTGTATACATTTTTTATAATGTATACAGTAAAAAGCTTTCAACTTACCGCCAACATATACTATACATTTTTGGGAAAAATAGACACAGTCTTTCCCCTAAAAAACTAGATTTCTGCAGAAAGAGAAGAGAAAAAAAAGGATATTTATTATCTATATTTTATGCAGAATTAAGATAGAATTAACAAAAGTTACTACGGGTTACAGTGGCAATTGGAATCAAAATTTCTGTTGCTAAATGATGTGATTGTAAGGTGCAACATCACTTAGCGACAGTAATCCTGTAAGTTCCAGTTGTCATCATAACTCCAGGACCACATTGGTTAAGTGAAGACTTCAAATGAATAACGTGGGAAAAAACAGAAGTCCCAGGCAAGCAAGTTAGTGGGTAAGAGTTGTGGATGAGTGGATGAATGTTGTGGATTGAGGCCATGAGACCAGGTGGGTAGGTGCCACAGGTAGGGAGGCAAAAAAGTAATAGGAGGGGGAGCAAATCTTTATGTCATCTTTATGGTAAGGCATTTTTCATTGCAAACGTGGAAAGGGAACAAGAGGGAATGAGGTTAGTTAACTGAACAAGATTAGAAGTCCCAAATTAGACCCAAGAGGTCAATTGATTTTATTGCAGTTTCTTTGCATGGGTATTTGAAGCTCAGACATCAAACCACACTCCACAGATATTTCCCTTTATATCCACTTTTCTGCAGAGATGTTCAGTTGGGGACAGGAAAGTTCCCTGGATTTGTCTCAATGGGTTTTAGCAACCATAGGAGGGAAGCATAATAAATTTCTTTCATTTGGAAAACCTTGTAAAGATCATTACTAGCTTAAATCTCTTAATTTCTTTCTTTCAATCTATCTTCCTTTTTTGATTACTCAACTCATGAACTGTTGCAATACTTTCTCCTGAAGAAATTGGTTTGGAAGTATTGTGAAAATGGGTTTCTACAATGAAATGCAATGGACTGAACAAAATAATAAAAAAATGCCTATTTCAACTCTGGCATCTTGTACAGGCCAGTAACTTGTGAATTGATGAACCTGGTTGAAACAGAGCATGTTTTCTCAAACTTATGTATGTGTTGGAGCAATAATACTTTTTATACCACTTTTTTTAAACTTTGGCCAACTCAAGGTGACAAACACACCTAATATTCATGCCTCTATTTATCAGCCAGCATAGCCCATTGAGAATAATGCCCACTGCCAGATTATTTAATATTTCCAATGTTGAACCCTTTAAGAGATACCTTCAAGACAGGCAAACCCCATCAGCACATCTTGCTTCAGTCTTTAATAGGTTTTGTACAGCAGGAAATACTGTTGTTTTCCTTTTCTCTGGCCTTTGCTTATTGGCTCTGCAAACCCTTCTTCCTTTGCCCTTCTGCAAATCTAAGTCATTATCTGCCATCCGTGCCATCCAAATGCCCCAGGCGACATGTCTCATCAGCTGCACCCCAACACCACTGAAGAGGTCTTGCGTAACTAACTTCCTAAGTCGGCGCGCCAGGCTTGGAAAACGCTTCCCTTTCCGCTCTTCGTTTTCTCTTCCTCCCCTCACCTTTTCTTAAGAATACCATCCCCACCAGTGACAAGGGGCATCGGGATATTACAGTTGCTCCATATTCTCAGGGCACCGGGGCTGGTAAACCTCGCCTTGGTTTTCAAGCAATACGCTGCTTCTGGGGGTTCCCCAAGGCGCTTCCTTCCGTCCCCGCTAAGCGCGCGTCCTGGCGTAACCCCCTTCCTCCTTTACCCGGAGCTCTCCCCGGGATCGGCTCCTCCAACGGGACCAGCAATTGCTGCACCCATTCATTCCCTTCCTGACCTCTATTCGCCCCAAGTGCATCGCTACTTACGGCTGTCTTCAGCGCCGGCGCCGCTAGTTCATCGCCAGGCTGCTTGTTAGTGCTGCCACCGCTGCCGCCGCTGATACTACTGATGCTCTCCAAGCTGCAGCTTCGTAAGCTGCTCAAGAGTCTCGCTGTCCGGGACGAAGCGGCGCAGGGACAGCAGCAGCAGCGAGGCCGACACCAGAGCGCCATGGCTTCTGATTCAGATCGGACAAGAGGCCACGCCTGTCGCTGCCGCTGTTTTCAGATGGCAATAGGCCCACCCCGCGATCGCCTCGGCTGCGGTGGTAGCGGCAGCGGCAGCGGCAGCAGCAGCAGCAGCAGCGACCCGGACGCGGAAACCCCGGCTTGGGCAACGTGAGCGTGCCTGGCAATGCCGCCTCCCGGAGCTCTTTCCAGGAAACGCTACAACGCTGCGGGGCTTATGAGGAGGCAAGGGAGTGGCTGGGTGGTGCAAGAAGAAGAAGAAGGAGAGAGGAGGATCAAAACCCTCCCATGATTCACCGGCAAAAGACGGAGTCGAGATTAGATCCGGATTTAACTCGCCCCGAGTTGCCCCCTGCGCTGGCTTTGGCTGCTGGCTCCCAGTATACGTGAATAGAATTCGCCCTCTTCTGTACAAAATGTCACTTGGGATTTATATTAGAGAGGTGGGAAAGAGTAAGTCTGTCTGGAGTTATTTCTGAGAAAAGAGGGGTTAGGAGGATTGTTGGTTGAAGCTCAACTTTTTTGGGGGGCGATCTTTTAATAACACCACTTTTAATAATGTAAGCAGGAATCTGTGCGTCTTTCAGTGTGTTTGGAAGTTAATTTTTGGACACAAGCATACCTTGTTGATTCTGTGTTGGGCTGTTTGTTGCCCTAGACCAGTGATGGTGAACCTTTTTGACAAGCATGCACATGTGCCGAAAGTGCCAGAAACCCGAAGACCAGCTGGCTGGTCACTAGCGCATGCACGCTGGCCAACTGGTTTTCATGCACACCCAAGCACCGGAAACCTGAAGACCAACTGGCTGGTGTGCACATGCCTGTTTTTGGGCTGGTTTTGGCCATTTTCAGGCAATTTTAAGGGCGTTTTCTGGCCCATTTTCAGAAGGTTTTTTGGGGCCCGTTTTCAGGCCAGCTCGCCGGTGTGCATGTGTGCACTGGAAACCAGAAGAGCAGCTTGCGATGACACGCATGCCCACAGAAAGAGCTCTGCGTGCCACATCTGGCATGCATGCCATAGGTTTGCCATCATGGCCCTACACCCATACTATAGCTGGTAGGTAGTACATTTATAATAGCCAATAAAAAGGAGAAAGGATAATGTTAAAGCTTTTGAACAGCTTGAAAATCTTACATCTGCTGATGAAAAGAAAAGGAAGGAGATGGATGAAGTGAGGTATAAAAATTAGGCCAAATGTTTAATCATTTAAAATCTGCAATTCAGCCGAGATCCTGAGAGGGAAGTATATGTGTTAACAGTGAACTCCAAAAAGTATGCCCGAAAGGGAAGTGGGGGGGGGGGGATAAATGCTGCTTATACAGGAAGGGAAAAACATGGATATATTAGGATGATAAACATCACAAAGAGGGAGGGGGGAGTTCTTAGAAAAGGGAAAGAAAAGATCCATGTAATAATTATTGATAAAAATCTAAAATTAATTCAAAGTTATAATTAAATGTAGACCACACAAGAAATATATTGTTTCATCTTCTTATTTCTAGAACACATTTTTCAAAGATAATTAACAAATTCATACCTGGATCCATTCCTTATGATCAGGAGGGTAAGTTTTTTTCCATTTGCATTAAACTATTTCGAAAAGAATTCAGTTCATTTTTAAATTTTAAACGCATTCATTCTTGAAAATGGGATATTCCAGTTCTCAATTCTAATATACAGAAATGTAAGTTTTATAACTTGCATTTTACTTTTTAAATTATGAATATGATTGAATGGTTGGTTTGTGCTCAACCATTACATTTCTTAAGGCTCCCAAAAATACAAGTACCCCTATGGTTATTTGAACATCTAGATCACATTATCTGGTTAGTTCATGTTAGTACATTGCTAGAATACATTTGTTCCAGTTAACAAAATAATCAGAAAACGTACCATATTGCTGTCCTACCTCAATAAGCTTTGATAATAACATTGTATAATGATCAAAACTAGTCATAATACCATTAGCATATCAGAACCAATTATCACCTATTCCCATACAATTCTTTAACAAAAAGGCCAATAGTTCAGAACCACTGTGAAGATTGTTTGATTTAAACAATTACCACTATATAACTTGATAGACTGAAAGACAGATACATTCAGGAGTGGGTTACTGCTGGCATTACTGCCAGTTCTCTTCACGCGGGATTTGCACGCACACTGCTCACTTTGCTCGTGCCCACGCCATACATTGCTTGCACATGTGCAGTTGCCTATAAATTGTTCTGTGCATGTGCAGAACATTATAAAATAACTAAGAAACATGCTGGCAACAGCATGGGCGACCAGGAAACTGGTTCGGGGGCGTGGTGAGCCTCCCATCCCTACCGGTTCGGCAATCCAGTTACAATTTGCACTACCGGTTTGCCTGAAATGGTGACAACCGGTAGCAATCCACCTCTGGATAGGTTCATAATAACTGTAGCTTCTGGATGAAGGTACAACAAGTCTTCATTTAATAATCCTAATTGGGACTGGCCATCTATCGCTAAGCAAAGCAGCTGTTAAGTTAAATGTCACTTTCCATTGATTAGCAATGGCAGTTCCAGCAGTCCCAGTTACTGTTGTTGAATGAATATATGATCTCTCCCACAACTCTGTCCTTTTGGCCACCTACCACAGTTAGTTACCCCCATTGTTCAGCCCTATGTGCTATCTGATGCCCATTACACTGTGCACCATTTTCACAAAAGTTTCTTTCATGTGACAGCCAGATCTGTCTTTTGCAAAAAAAAAAAAAAAAAGAACTCAGCTAGCACAGACACAAAAAAGACTTGGCCAGCAGTATCCTGTAAAGTGTTGTGTGATACACACCTACTCATCTGTAGCTCACACATCGTCTTGCATGAGATTTCCATGAGGCCCCATGTGTGATTGGGATGACGCAAAGAGATGGCAGTAAAGATGACAATGAAGGTCAGCTGGGAGTGGGAGATGCACAGTAGTAGGTGGGATGGATGCAAATTTTGTTCATCTGATGGGAGGGTATTATGATGGCCACAATTTCAAGAGTAAGTCGCTTAGTTCAACACCATCGTAATTTCAAACAGTTGCTGAATGAGTAGTCATTAAGTGAGGATATCTGCGTCAAGTTATAATCCAATGAACAAAATAAAGTGGATGATACCATAACATCTCAGAATGTGCTAAATCAGGCCTTTTTAGCATATAACAGAATAGGAAAACTGATGCAGTAGCTGTTGAAATGTCAATATAATGCTAAATGATATCCTAAAACTTTCAATCCTTGAAGCAGCTTTGGAGGAAAAGGTTGAGAGCACTTGAAGAATCTGAAGCTCATTCACGGCTAAGCCACAATTTAACGTTGCATTCTAAAGAGATAATTCAGCTTCACACCGTGGAGCTGTCACTGTTCATTTTCACACATAGTTTGAAAAGTCAGTTGGCCGAAGATATGATCTGCTAAATAAAACCATAGCTATTTATACAGCACTATTAGCCATGTGTGATGAACTTGAAGCCTCATTTGGCCTGGGCAGCCTATTCCCACTACAGTTGTCAGAAACCTGCAGCATCTGCAGTTTGTCATTACTGTGAACTCTTAAAACCTATTGTAGATATATCTAAAATAGTCTTAACGTAGTTAAAACAATAAAATGGTTCAAAATCCTACTCACACTGCTTAGAACAAAGGTGCGTGTATGGGGGGGGGAGCAGAATATCCTGACCTTGGGCACATATTGCCTTAGGCCAAGGGTGTCAAACTCAAGGCTGGATCTGGCCTGCAAGGTGCTTAAAGCCTGGAAATAGCAAAGGACTGCCTAGCAGTGCCTCTAGCAGCCCCCCTATACCCCGCTTTTGGCCTGGATGGCCTCCTTCAGCACTCTGCTGGCCAAAACGGGGCACGGGGGAGGGCGCTAAGGAGGTGGTGCAGAAGGCATCCACCTCCCACCCCCCCACTGGCCAGTCCATGGCGGAACACTACTGTTGAGGACTCGGAAAGTCCTCGACTTACGACCTGGCGGCTAGCAACCAGCCAAGCTGCGCCCTGATTGGCTAAGGCGCGGCTTGGCTGAGCGCAGGCCGCTAGGGGCGCGCTCATTGGCTTTCCCTGCTTGACAGCTCCGTATAAATAGCTGTCAAGCAAGGAAGGTGCTGAATCGCCTGTAAATAGTTACCTGAATAAACCGTTCCTCGTCCAGCAGTTCTGGCTCCAGTCTCGTCCTTCCGCCGATCTACAAAAACTACAATGTTGATCTGGCCCTTGAAGAAATCCAGAAATCCAGTTTGACACCCCTACCTTAGGCACCTAAGTTTGCATCATCACCCTGCACATTATGGTGCTTGTGGATCTGCAAAGGTTTTCTTCGTACTGGTTCCCTTTCTAAGTACTAGTGTAGACACTGCAGCACATAGATTTTTATAACACATTGATAAAACAAACCAAAACAAAATTGGTTTAAATTAATCATAGAATGTAAAGTCTGTAAGTGGCCTTTAAAGTTCATCTAGTCCAGTCCTTTGCCTAAGAACAGGAATCTATTATTACATCATCTCCAATACATAGCAATCCAGCCTTTACTTAAACAACTCTTATCATCATTCATCAGTTCTACTGGCATTCTGCTCGCAGGCCTATTAAGGCATTTTCCCATTATATAACTGAAATTTATTTATTTATTTATTTATTTATTTATTTATTTATTTATTAATTAGACTTATATACCGCTTCATAGGGCTTTCAGCCCTCTCTAAGCGGTTTACAGATTTTTAGCAAATTGAGTCAGCAAATTGCCCCCACAGTCTGGGTCCTCATTTCACCCACCTCGGAAGGATGGAATGCTGAGTCAACCTTGAGCCGGTGAGATTTGAACCGCTGAACTGCAGATAACAGTCAGCTGAAGTGGCCTGCAGTACTGCACCCTAACCACTGCGCCACCTCGCCAAAATTCCTTTAAATCCAATGTTTCTTGTCCTGTGTCCTATAGTTTTTGATCCCATCCACATTATAGTCCTGATTCTTGAAAACATAAAACATGTCCAATCTTCTCTTAAACTTACTCAGCACCTCTGACTATTTCTTAAATATTTCTCCTTCCATGTCACCTTGGTTGATCTTTGGATTGTCAATTTTCTTTCCCAAATGTGGCACCTAGAACTAGATGCAATATTCTACATGCCACTTGTCTAGTAACTTACATATAATTACAATATTGGTTGAAAAGATTTGCCATTGTGTATAAAAAAGGTAAATAAAATAATTTTTCCTAGGAATAAACCAGAGATGATATTCAGGGGGTTCTGACCAGTTCTGGAGAACCGGTAGTGGAAATTTTGAGTAGTTCGGAGAACCGGTAAATACCACCTCTGACTGCCCCCCCCCCCCATCTATTCCCTACCTTCTGAGTTGCAGCTGATCAGGAGAAAATGGGGATTTTACAATAACCTTCCCCTGGAGTTGGGTGGGAAGATTTTACAGTATCCTTCCCCTGTCATGCCCACCAAGCCATGCCATGCCACACCCACCAAGCCCACAGAATCAGTAGTAAAAAAATTTGAATGTCACCACTGGATTAAACAATCATTGCTGGTCTCAGTCATATCAACAAGCCAATGGTAAACTCAGATCTACTATGTGCTGCTGAGTAATCTGGAACTATTACAATTTGGCTTTGTGTAGGATAAAACCTTGAGACTCCTTGATCACTGATGGACTATCCTATCTAGGAAATTGCTGTGTTATTACATTTGGGCTTGTTCTTTATTTTCATTATCATTGGCTTTGGGATTCTTCAATATCCTAGGGATATTTAACTTTTGGGGTTAGGGTTTGTACAATAATAATTCTAATAATTCTCATCCTCTTTGTCCTATCACATTCAAATAATTAGTGCTGGAAACTAGCACCACATGATGTTGGGCATTATAACTGTATAACTCAGTGACATAAATCTCTATCTCAATCACAATCATTAACCAAAGGCTATCTTTTGTTTCATAGTGAGGCAGACTCAAGGTAAAAATCAGCATCTTGAAAGGAATCCAGAATACGAGTACAGGGTGTTGTTGTTGTTGTTTTTTTAAACAAAACTGCCCAGTTTGGTAACTGGTGTTTATGCCAGGAAACAGTGCTAATCGGCTTGAATTGATAAATCAGAATGCTATTCAGTGGTAAATATAGCCAAAATGTCATCCAGCCACTGAAAATAATATCAGGAAAGATTGCCATTGGTGGAGAAAATGTAACTGTTTGCACAAGTACTTGATTCCACCATTGACTTTTGGAAATCTATAGTCAGCCCATAGATCATGATTATTTGACTTCTTTGAGAGAAAACAGACTTGTCTGATCTGCAGTTGTTGATTAATGATGGTGATTGAGATATTTCTCAATCACCATCTTTCATTAAGTGATGTGGTTATAAAGCACATCATCATGTCACTGCACTGCTTAATGGCAGAAGTTTCGGCATATCTGGTTGCTATTAAGCAAATCCCATACCATCATTAATGTTACGTCGCCATGACTACAACCGGGAATGTCAATCACGTAATTGGCAAGCGCTGATTGGTCCAGACGCAACTGCAGTCTGGCGGGAA